GAAGAAAGAGCATAAAAGGATCAAGAGGAAATTGAAGGATTCGGGTTTGGTTCACCATTTGCAGTCTTTGAAAGGTATAAAGTTTGTACCATGCTTACTTGTTTGTTAGATCCCTTTTTGGGGAGGATTTAGGGCTTTTAAGCCATATGAGGTTACCAACCATGATTTACAAACATGGTTAGGGGTCAAGACTTCGGATCTAGCACTTGGGGAGAGTCACAAGGTAGATTTGGGTTGCTTTTGCACCCAAAGAAGGCCCCATGCAACAAAAGAGCCATTTTAGAGCCTCTTTGGCTCAAAAGTCCCATGCATGCACGTAAAGTTCGTAACTTTACGTGCTAGATCGAGCTTGGGGGCTTGGATCTATCATTTGGACAAGTGTTGTACATCAGAAATCGAGGATTTAGGGTGTGGACGTTATCGACTCGGCGAGTCCGTTCTTGGGACTCGGCGAGTCCAAGGCTTTGAGTCCCATATCTGTTGAGGGTCAAAAGAACTCAGTTGGGTATTAGAAGGGTTGTAGCAGGACAGAAAGAGTGACCCAACGCATTGGACTTAGTTTTAGACCTGGAGTTCATGGGACTCGACGAGTGGCAGAACAGACTCGGCGAGTCCAAGGCAATCTTCTTATGTTTGAAGATGAAGTCGACGAGTTGTTCATACAACTCGACGAGTCAAGGTCAGGACTTGTTCATCAGATGAAGGTGAACTCGGCGAGACGGATGAAGGTTCATTGATGTTCGTAAAGAAGGGGAACTCGTCGAGTCGTTGCCAAACTCGATGAGTCTAGCCATGGATAAGGACGGGTAAAGAGTAGGGACTCGACGAGTTGATGGCCCAACTGGGCGAGTCGGGTCAACTGGAAGTTGACTTTGACTTGGACTTGGTTGGGGTAAAATAGTCATTTTACCCTAAGAGTAGATATCAGATTCTGACTGAGTGTTTTGTGGGATTATAGCTGGAGGATATCCGGAGCAGTAGCAGACAGATGTTTCCCGTGCAGATTATCAGCAACTACTCATACAAGGTGAGTTACCTTCCAGTAAGGGTGAGTCTAAGGCCATAATGTCGGCCCACCAAATAGGAATATTTAGGAGATGATTGTCTCTGTGATAATTATCTTGGTCTGGTTATGTGCCTTGGTTATGAGCTTTATCTGTATGATATGTTATGTGTATAGTAGGGATCAGTTTCCCTGACAGTGGTCCTTAGGACCGAACGGTAGGTTAGTACCTGGATATGCCTGATTGTATGTTTATATCTTGATGTTGTATGCTAGTGGTAGGGGTGGAATAGTCCCCAGTTACCGGTTGAAAGATACCGATTATGGTTACCGGTTGAAAGATACCGATGATGATTACCGGTTGAAAGATATTGATGATGATTACCGGTTGAAAGTTACCGATGTTTGCTCTAATATATACTATGAGTTTGTGTGTGATTATTTGTAAAAAGAAACGAAATTGGTTGCTATGTTTACTAATAAATGAAAGCAGGTTGATATATATTGTAGTTTTGGTCCATGTGGTTTTCCTCACCACACTCCAGTTCCATATTATTGATTACATTTAAGCTATTTGCGGAAAAGAACTAACCGCTTTTAGAAACTAATTTCTAAAAACTATATGCATCTGTTGCTTGGTGCGGGTAAACGGCTAGTATATATATATATATATATATATATATATATATATATATATATATATATATATATATATATATATATATATAATTTTCATGAGCTTTTCCTAAACACTCTTACTCCAGCACTTCTAAGCCCCATAATGAATTTTGTTCCGGACTCGATCAAAATTTTGGATTTTTTGTTTAGGCGTGTTCAGCAAAATTAACTGATAACCGATAACCGGTAGCTTGAAACTTGTAGTGTTTTATTAAACGATACATGAAGTAGCATTTGGATTTAGAGCGTTTTGTTTAAATTAAACGTTAGAAGCTTGTAATGCTGAATAATTTTATGTTCAAAACGAAATATTTTGTTAAACGCTAAAAGCTTCAAAATGTTCCATGCCGAAAACGTTCTTAGTTTTTAACTAAAAATAGTGGTCATTTGCGTAAATATCTCTTGTAAGAGTATATCATATGGACAATTTGAATTGGTGTTATAACAAGAAACAACAAGATGAGGGGCTCGTGTTCATGGTGTTATAACACCATGTTAAAAGGAGAGAGATAGAGAGAAATAATTTGGCAGTCAATAGGTGATCACGTTTCTTCTTGTCTTGAAGACAACAAGAAGCACCACAACAAAATGCAACAAGAAAAGAAGTGGTGTTTTTGATGTTATAATGGCGTTACAGGCTGCCAACTCAAACAACACGACCCACACGCTATGCTCTAAAAATATGGCATTTAGGAATGAAAGCTGCCAACAACACGACCCACACCTATGCTCTAAAAATATGGCATTTAGGAATGAATTAATTTCATAACGATCATGGATTTGCTTATATAATTTTGTACTCACCATTATACTGAAATATTTTAAAAAGGGTGTTCGTTACGAGCTTTTGATGGGTGTCGTACAACAACGGATTAATTGCTCGCATTCGAGAAAACGATTTTATCTTGTTCATTCAGATATTGCAAGATTTAAAGAAGGTGAACAGAAGAGAAGAGGAGATCCATTGATTTCAAGTGGTCCATTCCAAATCCCCTACCAACATTTATCAAGTATCAAGAAACTGAATAAAGCCGATCTGAGCTGAGCCTGCCTCTGCCACAGAATTCAAGTCTCATAAACAAAAGCAACAGGTGTACTTGATTGAGTCTTGACCATGGCCGGTGGACCCCTCCTCCTACCCACACCACATGTGCCGGACTGAACCCCTCTTCTCCGCCTCTGATTTGCGAAAGGGGGCCTTTGCGATATCATACACGAACTGCTCGGAAAGACTGTTGTCCTATGCCATTTTTTCCGTTTTCTTGATGACGCTTTCCCCATGACATGAACATAAATATCACAAATTCACAATATGCATGCCTTCTTTCGTACTTGAGGCCATGAAGACATGGAAGGTCTAATCAATTGAAGAAGACGTGTATTGTTCAACAGAGACCCCACCAAAATGGAATACGACCCGTTAGTTCTTTTTCTAAAGGGCACTGTTCATAAAAAAAGCAAAGTAGCAGCAGCAACGTTGCCCTTTCAATTGGATCTGTGCTGTTGGATTTATCTTATTCTCTGAAAGATTTCCTCTAATTAGGTACACAAACAGACATTTTTGCTTTCCCAATCAGTGTTTGCGATCATAGGTTAATGGTTAGTATTTATTTTCAGCATACGAGCTTAAGAAATTCGAAGCATCAGGAAGAAAAGGTTAAAAAAAATAAAACGACCAAAACACAAGCTTGTGCACATCAACTGTTTGACGAAATGACTCTGAATTTTCAAATCTATGAACCCTAATTTCAGTTATCTACCGATAAAATTACGCGCATCTGATCTATCCAATTTGGAGCCCAATCCAGTCTATGTAAGAATCTGATTCTCTATCTTTAATTTTCTTCCTTTAAATTTTATTATCTTCTTTATGCCTTTCAGTACTTGAGTATTGGCTAGTCTCACTGTACCTTTGGTGTGTACTTCGTATTTATGTCATGTGGTTTGTTTTACATGTTCAGTACAAATATTTATTATTTAAATTTTTTGTATTAATTCTGGTGGCAAATGTTTCCTATTCACAAAGAATGGAAGAATAAATATTGGTGTGCAAATCTTTTTAGACTAGTATTTATTACAACATACAACTATAGTTTGACCATGTACACAAAAAAAAACAATTAAAAATTAGTTTAATTAATGATTCCAGCATTCCCCGTATCACTAGAATAACGTTGGTGATTCAAGAAAACATTGTATCAAGATATAAAAAGGTTAATAGTCAGTGCAACATTTTCCCAAAAGTAGGAAAAAAGAACAGTGATTAGAATTGAAGTTTGAGACTTTTTAGTTAATTAAATATAATTGGTATATAAATATAAAAGGCCATCACATCAGTCATCAGCAAACATGTCTCTTCTTCTCTAAACATATTCTGCCCTTTTCTGTCAAAGATATATCCCCTTTTTTCTTGTGCTATTCACCTTCCAAATAGCATTCCAAAGTTCTCTCTTAATTTCATATAGCATGCAAGTGAAGTATCTTTAATTACACTGACAAGTCTCCATCGTCATCGCTCATCATCGTCTTCTACATCTTCTATTTATAGTCTTATTATATCAAAATCTTGAAGCTTTTTTAACTACTCATGGAATCTACAACAACCTACTCATGGCGCTTGAGGCTGATAATCAGTATCACACTCATTCTTCTGTTTTCTTTCATTCTGTCACCTTCTGTTTCAGGTAAAACTAATCGTATGTAGATTACTTAATCCCAAATCAGTTTCATTTTTCTATCATTTTCTTGTTATGTACATGATGCTTGATTTTGTCAATTATTTTAATTCTAATTAATTAGCAGTTAATGAAGGTGTAGAAGAAAGAACAAGAACATTGGGATCAAGGCCACCGGGATGCGTGAACAGATGCATGAACTGTCAACCATGTCGAGCGACTTTGGTTATCCCTCCTCACCATAAAAATAAAAACATCGATTACAGATCTCAATCTTCTCATCGTGAAGATGATTGTTATTATCTTCTCTCATGGAAATGCAAATGTGGTGATAAACTCTTTCAGCCTTGAATCTTCATCTTATTATGTTGTATATATATCGACCAATTTCAGTGCTTAATTACTTAATTATATATATAACTTTCACTCTCGTTGTGAACAATTGTGAACCCTATCGTGTATTTCCAGTATTTGAATCACACAGAAGTCATGTAAAATTGAAAACAGAGGAATTGTATTCAAAGAATAAGTTCTCGAATCAAACACAAGTATACGAATGTGACTCTCTAAGTATATATATATATATATATATATATATATATATATATATATATATATATATATATATATATATATATATACCCCTACAAATTTAACACCATCAATACTAAAGCTGTGGAACATGCCGCCATTACCTTGAAGGAGAAAAGAGATGTTGCAGAAGAAGGCACAAGTCCTGTGAATCCGATATCGTAAGAAATGCTTCCATCGGCTTTGAAAAGCCCGAAGTTTCTCTCGGAGGTCGGGCCGGGTTTTAGGTTTTCGTTAAACATGGCGAAAACATACGCCTTCACCACCATTTTTGGTCTGTAAGGTGTACCTTTCTTCTTCAGGAGTCTTTTACGTAAGTTCAGGTTATACGTTCTCGCGTTACTCAACGTAGCTCCGGCTTCATTCGCATCACCTTTTGAAGCCCATCCTGTTTCCGATACTATAACCTCCATCTTCTCAAATCCAGCTTTTTCCAAAGCAGCGTAAGTCGCATCAATTTGTGCTTCGAACATGTTGTCGTAATGTAATTTCGTTTTCGCGTCTTCTATTCCTGCATTCTTTTTGAAAATTGCGTAATTGATATCGATGTGTTCGGGGTCACTGATGTATGCGAGAAATGGATACGTGTTTATGTAGAAAGGGGACTTGATTTGGGAGAAGAATTCGAGGAGAGGTTTCATGTAGGGAACTAGGGTTTCCTTAAACGCGCCGGCTGACGGAGGGAAGGAACTAGCGAACACGCCGGCGGAATGTGGGCTTGAAACCTCGACATCGTCGGCGAGGTGGAGGAGGTCGAGAGCAGTGTGGATGTTTTTCACCGCCGGTAGCAGGACCTCCCAGAGTTCTTGATCGGCGCCGCCTAGAACCTCGTTTCCGACTGCGATTCCACGGATACGGGTCCCGGGAACGAAGGGTTCCACGTTATTTTTCACCCAATCCATGGCTCGATCCTGGCTTGTGCTTATATCTCTCAGGAATTCGTTTCCAAGCCCGATGATGATCTCGATTCCCGATCCTTTGAACGCTTTGAGAACTTCATGATCGGCGTCGTAGATTCTTGTGTTCTTGATTTTTGCTGCTTTCATAAGGGTGACGACACTTTCCGGCGAGGGGATGTTGTCGGCTATTCGCCCGTAGTTGACTCCATATGTCCCCGTGAATGCACTAGCTATCAGAACTGCCGAAAAGAATAAAATGTTTTTTTGAAGCAATTTTTTAGTTAATTGTATTTATTGGGTCAACTATTACAAAATGTTGCAAAGTTGCAACAAAATTTTATATTTAAATAAGATAAATATACATAATTTTCAACATGGCTTATAGAAATTTATGACTAATATATAAATAATATGGTTAAATTTAAATTTAAAATCTAAAATATATTTTTAAAAATAATTTACCTAAAACAAATATTGGATGAAACATACTAAAAGCACAAAACAAAACATATCTAATAGAAATAGACGAGTTTTTAGTCATTCGAGATCGTTTAAAATTAGTAACAATGTTTTTTTTTCTTACTTTTTTTTTAAAAAAAGGTGCTGTTTAAAAAGATGGTAAATTGGATGAAAATTGGTATTAGAAAACCTCCAAACCCATGTAACAAGAATTTTGAAGAAATAATTGATGAAAATGATATTCTTATTATATTATGTGAAAATCGATTGTTGTATAGGTTTGAAAACTAGTTTCTAATTTGTTTCTTTAAAATTGTTTTCACTCAAACGAGTTCCAACTTTCCATATCTCAAATCGATAACCAACTACAAGATCAACTTCAAACAAAACGTTTTAGTCAAACAAATTCGGTTTTAAAACCTATTTTTTGTGCTCGTCTAGCTTCTATGAAGTTGGTTATGGGTTTGGGCTTGTTTCGGTCCAAGCTCTTATCCTTAACTATAATCATACTAAACACAAATTACCTACAAGGTTAGTGAATCGAGCATACCGTTGTTAATGGCGACAATGACAAGAATGAAGAACCGAAGCGATGATGTGGAAAAGTCCATTGTTTGTAAATGTAGATTACAATGTAGAAGATGAAGTATGTGGATATGTAAATATGTAAGAAACGGGAAGAACAATGACTTGTTGTTTGGGATGCTTGTTCTTTAGGAATGCCATTAGAGTTGTCAATCAAAGATTCTTGAGATGAATTAATGGGAGATTGCAATATTGGACTATAAGATTATGGCGTAGGGTATGTAATACCATAAATTATTTTTACGACAAGTGTTATGTAAAAAAAATTAGATTATAGTTATGTTTTAAAAAAACAGTCTATAAAAAAAAGACTAAATCATTACAACTTTATAAAGCATGCACATGCTTATGGGACAATATTTAAAACAAGAGAAGAAATAAATAAATATTTAATTCTTGTTAAATGTTTTGTTTGGTATTCGTATGAATCAATTTGTTTTTTACGTGTTAGTAGAGTTAAGCAAACAACTATATTTTGTGGACATTTTTATTATTTTTTTGTGAATTTGTATCGTTATGTTTTAGAAATATGTATATATAAACATTATGTCTTTATATATAATTATATTAATATTATTATTTCAGGCAAAGTTTTATATATACTAACCAAATGTATGTTAAACGAAAAGACCATGAAATTTATTTTATTTTATATTACGACGTCTAAGAAATATATAGCCCTATTGTTATTTTTTGTAGTTAATTAAATGAGGGATTCCAACTTTTTGAATGCTTTCCCCATCTCTAAAGTTTACTTCTTTTCTTGTATGCTTTATATACCTTTCCTGTATAAATAGATTCAGGTTGACATCTGAAATATCACCGAGGAGCAACCGCTTTGCTTTGCCGGCGGGGAACCCATAACCACCGTGCCTTTAAGGAAAGGATTTGCTCTTTGGTTAATTGGGCTATAAAAATATATACTACTAGGTCATACGAATTACATTTAGAAGATAAATTATTTTTTCATAGAAAAATTAGTATAAGACTTATATACTATATGAATTTATTAGATATAAAATTTTATATCAATATATAAATATTTAATATTTTATAAAGTGATATTTTTACATAAGAAAGTATAATATTTTGGAACATTTATAAAAGAATTCAAATTGTTTGGAGCATTTACGAGACTTTATTATCAAATTAATAGAAATATTTTCTTTCCTTATAGAATTTGTTAGAATTTTATGGAACTTTATTTAAAAAGAAAAATGGTAATCCCAAAAAATGACAAGTAGAAAATAAAATTTTTAAAATTCCTACAAAATAAAATTTTTAAAATTCCTACAAAATAACATGTGTCAATATGAAAGATAATAGGATATATAGCAAAATTGTTTTTATTTATTAGGTTAGATAATATAAAAAATCTGGTGATTAAAGAAAATTAACATGATTAATTGAGAAAATATGGTTTTATGATTTAAAAATGGAATTCAAATTATTAGTTTCTAATTTAACATGATCTTTAAATGGAAGTGTATATATATATACGGGAAAAGTGAATATATCCTTAAGGGTATATAAGCTTAGGTACCCAAACACACCATATTATATCGTTTCGTATCATATATAGCCATTGTAATTGTTCAATGTTCTTATAATTCAACTTCTAACTTGAATTACTTTAAACATTTTTATAAATTTCATGTTTATCTTACTCTTACATAATTGTCATTTTCAACAATAATATATATAGCTTAGTAAGTGTTCGGCAAAAAGATGTGATGTAAGACGAAGATAATAGTGAAAATTTAAAAATATTGAATATAAATCAAGTTAAGGACTGAAGTTTAACAATATTATACTAACTATATCAAACAAAACGACGTATTATTATGAGTTTGGGTACCTAAGCTTACATACCCTTAAGGGTATATTCACTTTTCCCTATATATATATATATATATATATATATATATATATATATATATATATATATATATATATATATATATATGAGAAAAGTGAATATACCCTTAAGGGTATATAAGCTTAGGTACCCAAACTCACTATACTACATCGTTTTGTATCATATATATATATATATATATATATATATATATATATATATATATATATATATTGTAATTATCTAATGTTCTTATAATTCAACTTCTAACTTGATTTACTTCCAAAAATTTTATCAATTTCACATTTATATTCCTCTTACATAATTTTCATTTTCAACTATAATATATATATATATATATATATATATATATATATATATATATATATATATATATATAGCCTAGTAGGTGTTCGGCAAAAAGACGTGATGTAAGAGGAACATAATAATGAAATATCGAAAATTTTGAAAGTAAATCAAGTCAATGGTTGAAGTTTAAGAACATTATAATGAATATATTAACAAAATGATGTATTATAATGTGTTTGGGTACCTAAGCTTATATGTTAATTTTGAAGTTATAATAACTTTAAAATTTTTGACATATCTCTTAATTAATAATTAATAATTTATTTAAAATAATTTATTAATAGTTATTAAATTTTATTATCAATGTTTAATTAATTTTGTAACTGTGGTTACCACGGGTTGTAAACTAGTATATATATATATATATATATATATATATATATATATATATATATATATATATATATATATATATATATATAAAACAATAAATACGGATATTTAATAAAAAACACGTGCCAACCAATAAATATGAATACTTAATAGAATTACATCTGACAATATAAGACTATTCGACTATTCTTTTATTAATATAATAAGAGATTTTTTAGAATTTCATAAATGGGTCTTATGGTTTTGATTTTGTTCCCAAAACAGTCTTTATATAACTTTTTTTTTGCATGAATGATTCATTTGGACGAAACATTGCACTCCAATGGTCCTTCTGATGGATGTTCGTTTAAGGATCATTTGTGAATTTTAGAAAAAATCTATTAAAATTTTTATTATTTATCATAAATCAAATAAAAAGAAAGAAAAAAATTAAAACATAGAAAATATAATATTTATATAAATAAAAAAACTTACTAATTTTAATCATCATGCAGTTATATTTTATTTAATATATAAATAATTTTTCTTATCTAAACTTTATCTAAAATACTTAAACTACAATAAACATTTGCGTTTTCAAGTTTTATCTAAAAAAAATTGAAGTACAAAAACATCATTTTATAACTTTTTTATTTTTATGTGATGTGATTTTCAAGATTTATCTTTATTTTTATTATACAAATATATTTATTTTTATAAAAAAAAATTGTTGTTATAAAAAATATGCTATTATAAAAATAATATTATTCTGATATTCTATTTTAAAAAATACAAGTATGTGGTTTTGAGTTAAAAATAAAAATATGTTTCGATTTTGGTTTCATAGTAAAAATACGTTTAATTTTATATTGATTCAATATAAACTTTTGATATTTAATTTAAAAAAATATTTCGTTCTATAAAATTTTGAACATATTTCTTAATAAAGACATAAACTTTTCAAAGCAGAATTAAAAAACTTCTCTTAGCTAATGATAAAATAATTAAAAATAAATAAATAAATTTATATAAGAAAAAATAAAGATAAATCTTAAAAATAACATCATATAAAAATTAAAAATAGATAACATTATGTTTTTATACTTCAAATTTTTTAGATAAAAAATAGAAAAACAAAAATATTCCATGATGTATTGTAGTTTAAATATTTTTAGATAAAGTGTAGACAACAAAAATTATTTATATATTAAATAAAAAATATTTGCATGAGATTAAAATTAGCAAATAATTTGTTTATTTATATAAATATTAGATTTATATGTTTTAGTTTTTTTGTCTTTTTATTTGATTTATGGTAATTAATATAAGATTTATTAGATTTTTTTTAAAGTTCACAAATGATCCTTAAGCAAAATTTCACAAATGATCCGGTCCTTATAAGAAGTTTTACAAAATCAAAAAATGGACCTTATGTAAGATTCCCTCAACTTTACGGCTACATCTTACGGACATTCATCCCAGTAGAGAGCAAAGTTTCGTCCAAAGAAATTAATAATACAAAAAGGGTTCATAAGGATTATTTTCAGGATAAAATCAAAACCATAATGAAGATTTGTGAAATTTTGTCTCTTTTTATTATCATTTTATATAACTTTTTTTTAATTATTTAGTGTAACAAAATTGTCATTTTTTTACTATTTTTAATAAAATATTGTTAGGGTTATAAGTTTTAATCTCAAGTGAAACTAGAAAGTTATGAGACACACGTTTCGATGGCGGTAATCCGTTTTGTAAGTTCAATTTTGCTGATTATATTAATAAAAGGTAAGTACTATTGTATTTGTTGATAGATAAAGTCGATACCACTGACTAACTTTAATTTATTCCGAACGTACAAAAACGTATTATATATTACCAAATTCATATGTAGAAAAAAATACATTAAAAATAAGCATGACAACATACACAATATTTACACGAAAACGTAAGAAACACGAATTTACACTGAAATGTACATAAAAAATTAGGGGTGAGTAAACCCAAACCAAAAAACCGAGAAACCGATTAAAACCGACGAAACCGGAACTGAAAAAACCGAAACCGAAGCAAAACTGACGGTTAGGGTTTGATATTTTTAAAAACCGAAAAATCGGGTTCGGTTTCGGTTTTTACCCAGAAACCGACCCATCCAACCCAAGAAACCGACCCATACTTAAAACCGACAAACTGCCCCAAGAAACCGACCCATCCAACCCGAGAAATCACCCATACTTGATTGTGTTTTGTTTGTAATAGACTATTTCGGGCTTTGGTTATAACTTGTAAAAGACTATTTGTTGTAAGACTAATATTTTTTAAAGTATTTAACTTCAATTTGGTGTTTTTTAAGTATTTAGCTTGTTGTTTTGTTTATAGAAAATGGGTTAAAACCCGAAACCCATGGGTTTAATGAAACATCCCAAAATACGACCCAAAAATTTTTGTTTAATAATTACTAAAAACACCATGATAAAATCATAAGGTAAAACTCGTACGTCAATATCTCACAAACAAAGT